CCTTCCTTCCTTCCTTCCTTTCTTTATTCATGTTGTGTGGTTATTCATTTCTTTTGTCGTTCTTTCTGTATTTCGTTTATCTATTTATTATCCTTATGTAACTCCTTCTTGTCTTTCTTTATTTCTCTTGTTATGCCCTTGCTTTATTGTATGTGTGAAATTTCTGTCTTTTTTGACTTTAGTTGTTTCTTCTCCTTCTTTCTCTGCTTCTTTTCGTTCTGTCTTTCATTTGTTCTTGCTTCTGTGATTATTCTTGTTCGTTCTTTCTTAATTTCTGTCTTTCTTTCTTTCTTTCTTCTGACTTTCTCTCCCCGAACCCAACCCGTCAAAACCAAAAAAATGCAAAAAATGAAATCGGAACATACGGAAAAGTAATACCCTACCCCGTTAGATTGGGTAGTGATCACATCACGTGGTGCCGGCCTCGTCGCTGCTGTCAAGCAACGGCTCTTCCACAGGCAACCTCAGCAACTTTGCAGGTGCTTTGCATGAGTCTGACCTGATCTGCCTCAGACAAGCGATTTTGCAAGGGGCTCTACAACTCTTGCGTGCCGCTGCGACCGTGAGGCTGCAACTGCGTTGTTGCCAATGCGGCCTTTTCGGTTCTGCACAATCACAGAAGGCTTACAGCCCGCAATGGTATCAGCGTGCACACGCTATAACTCATGGAGCTTGCTTTCCACGCATGCTGCGAAACTCCACATTGCAAGCACAAGGGCAGTCTTGATGTCCAGCTAGGGGGAAATATTCTATGATTGCTTCTGCACTATTGCTAAAACTCCAACTACTGGTGCTGCTCCTCCTGCCACCAGTACTACCACCACCACCAATCCTCCTACTACGACCTGTAGCAGGGTTGCAGCTGCTGCTGCTGCTGCTGCTCAGCCCGTATGCCACAATCTTTAAACCTGGCGTGGCAAAAGCCATTCTTGCCTGCTTCGGGACGATGGCAGGCACGAGGGGCCTGTTCATAAGGGCAAGCTAGAATCATAAAAGAAGAAGTGGCGTCACACTTCTGCTCCTGCAATGAAAGCTGCAGCAGGATAGACTCCAGTATGCACTGTGGAAGATCATTGCTTATACATGCATGTGGGTAGGGAATTAAGAGTTAAGTAGACACGTTGGCAGTCTTACAAGGCTTCACCAAGGACTTCATCTTACATGGCTGTGCAGCCTGGCGGGGAGTGAGTGGTTGCGAATTGCCGACGTCTCAGGTTCAGAGTACAGATCCCTGAGATCCCGAAAGGATCACAAGGTGGCATGTTTCTGACGGAGCGCACCGGCCAGCGAGCCCGACGGCAGGCCTGACAGTGGGAGGCCGTGGAGCCTGCAAGGCCACAGACGCTACTCCGCTACTGTCTTTTTGGATCAGCATCAGCTGGCACATCAAGCGTCGCTTCCACAACGAATGGCAATGTGCCGGGTGCTGTGGCCTGCTCAGGCTCAGGGCCTAGATCAACGTCCTCCAGCTCCTGCGGTGCGAGCTGTCAACGTCAGGGCTGCTTCTCGCATTTACAGCTCACTTGAACGAGCTTGTGATACTGCACGAGTCCAAGCCACTGCCCCTACACACCCCTAACGTACAGGTTAAGGTTTGGGACCATTGCCAGGCCTCGTCACTGCTGTCTGGAACGTCAGACCTGGGACAAAATGGCTCTACGATGCTCTACAAATGGGTGAGATTGCACGGTCTCAAGCTAGAGAGCCTTCTCTCATTGACTCCAGGATTACGTTGGCTGGCTAGGAACCCGCTTGAACCACAGGAACTCATTGCTCACACACATACCATGTACGGGGCTGCGGCTCTTCGCCAGGGTCTGCCTGTCAGCGCGTGGCCATTTGATGCCATTCTGTTGAGAACAACATCACTTCCCAATTTCCATTCGCACGCACAAACAGAGCCAGGAATCCAAAGCAATACTACTCAAACATCATGGCGTGCGTGCCCGTTTGTCAGGATAGGTCGGTATCCCTTCACGGCGAGCCTCTGTAAGAAGCCCCGGCAGCGGAGCAGGGCTTCCGGGTGGCCTGGAGCGTGTCCAGTTCTTGAACTTGAAGAGGGTTCTTCAAACCCATTGGCCTCAAGCTTGGAATGGAGCCCTCAACTTCTTGTTGCATTCAGAAAGGAGTGATGAGATGTGTAGATCTCGCAGCTTGCATTCTGCGAGCACGCTCCTCTCCGGCAGAGGCAGCTGGGGAGCAGCACCGGCTGCCTTCAGACATGAAAAATGGCGCGACCAAAAGCACCTAACATCAAGCTTCAACATGCGGGGAATATTTGCTGGGGATCATTAAGGAAAGTGATTACTGCGAACCATAGACGAAGAATCGGCAAACTGGCACAGAGTGGAAGGCAATCTAGTCATGACACCCAGGGCAGCGACAGGGTCCAGCCGCACGACTTCCTCCAAGCGCTCAGAAGAATCTCCAATGCTTGCGGCAACAATGCCGCGACACGCAACATGCTAGCAACTTTGCTGCAACTTGCGTTCTTTATTACAATGATAGAGATTGAGTTGACCGATGCCTCCGGTGGTGGAGCACCCAAGCTGCTGCAGCCTGTCAAGTCAGCAGGGTGTGGTTTTACCGTATTACCTATCAAGTCCTGAAAATGGGATCCATTTTTTCTCTGCTCAGTAAGGGAAGGCAAGGTCAACGCTCCTCACCCAGCGCATGTCCTGGCAACAGCAGAGGGAAGAGATGGAAGGATTTCCTTGGCAGGCCTTAGGATTCTGGGTTCTGGGCAGCTACAGCACGCCGCGCACGCGGAAGACACGATCAGTAAAGACAATTCACTTTGTGCCCACGTACGGGCTTCTGCTTTTCGGCCCTATCACTGCAGCAAAGAAGTTTGCAAGAAACCAAGTGAGCGTCAGCACTTAGCGTCAATAGCTTGAAACGAGACCCGATCCCATCCGAGCACCAGTGGTAAAGGCTTGCAGGCATCAGGCTACCAGGCTACCATTTGACACTCGGTGCACTCCCACACCCCAAGGTCCACGTGGCGAAAATCACGCGGCTTGGAAGCTCCATCGCCCACGAACAGCCTTGCGGCAAGCGTCCTACTCGGGATTCCAAGGGACCAAAGGCTAGGCGCTGCATCGAGAGTTGCCGAGAGACCGGTACGCTGCATAGAGCCAGTCCGGCGGAGCTCTGAGATCGTAGACAACCTCGTATGTCTCTACAGCTGAACAATCAGTTCTTGTGAAAACATATGTGTCAATCTAACACTTGCCCGGAAATCCAAAGCAACGCGTGTGGAGTTGACACTGAACTAATGAGGAGCCACGTTGAAGGGCAAGGCCAGTCGCTTTTAAAGTTCATCGGTCTTTCCACGAGCACAGGCAGGACCCTGAAGCAAACCTGCTTGAAATTGCGAGAAGGATTTGGAACAGCGAGGCCTCGGGATAGAGAGATGTAGACAGGCAGAGATGGCGAGTTCATGTTAAGATATATGGAGAAAGTGGGCAAGAAGAAAAAGGGACCAGAAGACAAGCAAAGCAATGCAATCAGCGACAGAGGACATTCTGGAAAGTCACGTAACCCCTCAAGTTAGATTGTTGACATACATCCTATTTGCTGCAGGTGTGATTCGGGCACATGTTGAAGATCAGCCACTCAAATAGTCATCCCAAAAGCCCAAAACAACAGGATCTCTCTTGAGAAGGACCGCAAGAAAAAATCGGTTCTTTTGACAGATCCCAAACCGCACAGGCACACAGATGATGTCAAAACCGTCCCCTGTGAAAGCCTCTGAGGGCGGGACCCTCACAGGGAACTCCTGCAAGACAGGCACTGTAGCCAAGGGCTAAGGTAGAAGGAGCAACAACACTACCCTTTTTTTCTGTCCTAATACTACTCCACCAACTACTACTACTACTACTACTGCTACGCTTGTTTTTGCCATACTGCTCTACTTCTCTGCTGCTCTACTGCTGCACTGCTGTGCCAGGTGCTATTCCTCCGCTCCTGCTACTTACCATTTCATGTTTTTGTCAACTACTTCTACTGTTGCTCCTCCGCCTAACCATGCTCCTCCTACTCCTCCTGCTGCTGCTTCGCATGTGCTACTGCTGCTGAAAGAGTAATAATGGCAGTAAGTGATGATAAGAATGATGATGATCAGCATCACGATGCTGGCCGTGGGTCGGAGAAACTGCTGGACCATCCCAATGTTGAACCTCGCACCCCCAACCTGAACGGCACACAAGTCACCATTTTGTTTAAAAGATGGTTGGAGACCAACCCAGACTCACGTAAATGTTCCTTTGATTGTGCTTTGGCTTTTACGCCCTACACACAAAATGCCCAAAAAACCTCACGCTTCAGACCCGTGTTGTCTAGGTTGCTCAGACAGGAAACATTTGCGTCTTGTCTTGGACCTGGAACTAACCCGAATTACAGAGTCTTGGGTGTGTGGACCAACTTCACTGGTTGCATTTGGCGTGTTTCGAGCGAGATCCAACAAAACCTGAGCAGAGCAAGGCAGACACTAACAAAACAACTATGCAAATTAGAAAGCGAGCGCTCGATTTCCTACGACCAATGAAAATAAAAAAGAGAAAGTGGGAGGCTGCCGCTACTGCTACTTCCACCCACCAGAAGGAGGCCTGACCAAACCGAAACTCCTGCCCTAAAGCCCGCTGGCTACCTCGCCGCCATCCGACACCTCGCAGGGTGACAGCATTCCAAGGGCTCACGCCGCTCGTGTAAACAAGGTCATCTGTCTTTTTGGGGGTGCATGATCCTTCTCTTCCTGCTGGCCCCGTGACTTTGCTGTGCTTTGTGTGTGGGAATGACGGGGCAAGCTGCGTGAACGCCACCCCAAGAGGTGCTTGTTATTCTGTTGACGGTGCCTGCGTCAAACGAAACTTGCGAGCACTCAGGTTCAACATGTTCAACCAAAGTTGGCAAGGGGAAAGAGAATGATCGCACACCAATCAACAGGTGGTTTGTTTGCCCCCCGGTCTCTCTCTCTCTCTCTTTCTTTCTTTTCCTTTCATGCGGGCTTTCTGGACTGCCCCGGAAGGAGCAGCCCGGGCTCCGGCCCAGCCCCTGTTGGGCTTCGTTGTGGTTGAGAAACTCACCCCTCGGTTGCACATGTCAGTTTTTGGTTTTTCAGGGTATAATTGAAGGTGTGTAGGTTTTAAGGACGCTGGACATGTGGGGTATGGCCTGAACGGTTCTTCACAGCCTGTGCCTCTTTTGTCTCTACATCTTTTTTGGCTTTGGCTTGCGGGGATGGTGGGAGGTCCTCACCGGCCCTGGGGTTTCCGGTTCGTCTTGTTCAAGTCTGGTTTGGTGTAAGACTGTGCTGGTTCTGAGCCACGATCTAAATGATGATGTAGAGGACGGCAAACAACACACACTCTACCTCTTTCTTTCTTTCATTCGTTCAGGCTATGGAGGCGGGATTGCCCCCACCTCCTGGCGTCAATGCCCAGCCCGTGTTGGGCAGACAGGTTAAACGACCCCTCGTTGTTTCAGAGTGGGTGCTTTACACCTCCATACAAGTTGAGGCAAGTTTCGTACTGGGAGGAAGGAAGGAGGAAGGAGGAATCTATTATAGAAGCCTGTTGCTTGTATGGAGTGTGGCTTTGTCCACCGTCGGAAATTGCCTACTCCCGTATTGGAAGCCAAGGGAAAAAATTGGCCACTGTTGTGAGCGAAACAGCAAGACTGCTAGTGGGTTAACTTCCATAGTAACCTACCATCACGTGGCGCATGTAGTGGGTTGACTACTCGCGAATTATGCTGTGAATTCACTTACTTTTGGCGGAACCATGTCAGGTATTCTCGGACTGTGAGGTTGGTGGTCGTATGGCAGCCGTATGGTGTCTACAGTGTCGTTGCAGCCCATCCCAAAAGGATGGTTCAAAATTTCTCGGAGTGGTTGTCTGGAAGCACCTAACTATGGTCGATCCCACTCATGTTGCAAATTGCCTCGCTCACAATGTCTTTTGCCTCAGCTGCCTCCTTGGTTATGTGACGATGGCCACGGCCTCTTTGCGTTGGGGCTGCCCGTGTCCACCAGGGTAGTTTGCCTCCATGGTGGAATTGCCAAAGTCACAAACTGGTAGTAGTGGAAGGTTGTCTCCCAGCGTAGGGGTCCCAGAGAAAGATGCAGAAGGTGGATGTAAGGACCGGGTTAATGGGCAGTCGTGCAGCACCTGACACCCTTGGGGAGCAAACTGGTACGCAAGGGTGAAGGCAAGGTTGTCAAGGTTCTCGCGTAGTGAATCAGACTTGCCCTTGTGGACTATGGCTCCACTTTCGAGAGCGCGCAGAGCGCCGTCCTAAAGCCCTGGCAAAACCACCTGGCCTGATCTGGAATGGCAGCGGGATGCTGCTCAAGCCCCCTCCCCGCCAGCGCACACGTCCACCCCCCGCCCCTCCAGGTTGTGGGAGAAGAGCAGGGGTTGGAGACTTGATCTCTCTCTGTCTTCTTCTCTACCGGCTCTCTCTCTCTCGGTCTCTTTTTTTTTCCTTGTTGCCCTCCTCTCACTCACGCTCGCCTCCCTTGCTCGTTCTCCCATCCACACCCCAACAGTGTGATGTACCACATCACTTTAATTATGTCGTATGGCACTACTGTGTTCCTTCCAAGGCTTCGGGATGATGTCTAGAACTCAGCCTAGCCCACAGCCTGGCCGTGAGCAATGTAGAGCCCTAGACCCTGAATCCGACAGAACCGAATCACTGAACCACCCACCCAAAATTCCACCTTGCTCCATCCGGCCACCGCACCGTCCGAGGCTCCCGTAGGCGACTCACGGACCCATACCTTGACAAGGGCGAAGTGGTGGTAGGCGGGGTTGGCTTTAGGGGCATCAAGCTGGAGATTATTTAGGAGAATGCCTCCCATATGAAAGTAGAGCTCCCCAATGTCATGCCCACCATGGAAAAGTCTGCATGTGCTGGTGCTGACGGCAAACATTGGGGTGCAGCCGCTGCTTGACATCACTAGCATAGGGGTGATCCTGCTGATAGAGGAAATCTTGCACCACCTTAAGTCCCTAAAGTCCTATCAGTTGCAATAATTTGGAGCCCCTAGGTCGTGCAAGATTTCATCCATCAACAGTCTTACAACCCTCACGCATGAAAACCACACATTATGCTTGGGCAGCATAATAAGCTGAGACCAGCAGCCAAGGTCTGCAGCCAGACTCGAATCCGATGTGGCTCCACTCGCCTTCACAACCAGTACCATCATCAACGCGCTATTCTACAACTACTACTTCTCCTTCTTCGCATCTTTCTCTGACAGCAACTGTTGCTATCAACAGTAGTTCTCTGACACGATTCCTGGCAGCCTGAGACCCAGAGGCGCCTGGCTCTCTCGACGGCCTCTGCGTGACGCACGTCATCTGCATACGTGCCTCTGGCCAGTCGACTGGTCTCGGTCTAAGCTTCCTTGTTGCCCTTTGCATTGACGCTTCCCATCAAAATTGAGGAAACCATCGAGCCCGCGCACCAGAAAATCCCATCAATAGGATCGAAAAGCAATGGTGCAGCAGATCACATGAGCCGGCAGCAACAGTAGCAGAAGCAGCTGCAAATACCACAACACACCACGTGTTGTTAGATGTTTAATATGGCACCACGCAAACGTGAGGATGAACGAAGATATGTTGTGCGGCACGTCACGTGCCGGCCTTTGGGCCGGATCAACGAAGGCACCTTCAGCGCGAAGGATAGATCCTGGCTGACAACTGCGGCAAGGATGCGTCTATAGTCTCGTGCACAAGAGCTGCTTACAGTTGTCAAAGCGAAATTTGGCAAAAGGCCTGCAGCAAGTCACGCTAGCTTCCTTGTGCAGCCAGGCAGCATAAGAAATCGGCGGAAACATGGTGAAATGGTTGAAGTTGACCGCCACCACCTGCTTTTCAGGGCTGTTAGCCTGCCATCTTAGCATGTCCTAACAAGCGACTCCAGTGAATGCCTCATGGGGTGTGAACAAGAGACAGCATGCAAGCAGCGTGCAGCACCTCATGCGCGTAGACGTCTGAGGTGGCCGAAATGTGGTCCTCGCTGCCGAGCAGCAGCTCGCGCCTGAGCTCAGCTAGGCCCAGAGGAAAACAGAATTCTAAGTGTTGAAAAATGATTTCCTAAGAAAGAACCTGTATGAGGCACTCCTATATAGGACTCCACTGCTCTATACGATTGCACAACTTGAGCTCAGCATCTTTTTACCAAAGAGTCCCTTGCGATTCTGGTACCGCAAATGACTTCACATTCCAGGTTGAATACGAGCTAGTGAAGCCTAGCTCCTCAAGGAGTCCAGAAACATTTCTCTCGTTAATGTGCCAGCCCTCACCTTTCGAAGGCAAGAGACGCCATGGCTCGGTTGAGTAGCGAGCAGTGATTTGACCTGGGCGAAAAGAAGTTTTCTGAGCACCGTCAGCGCTGAACCATCTCAGGCAAGTAAGATGAAATGCAACAGCCTTGTCCATGTTGCAGCAAAACCAAATACCAAAAGAGGACTTACAGCACGAAGTAAGGCTTTCATGGCCACAAGCCCACAAAGGAGGCGACATCCGCACAGCGTCGCTAAGCAACTCTGGAGGATCCTTCCAGGGGCATCACCGGAGCTACTCGGGAGCTGCTCTTATTTCGAAAAGAACAAAATCTTGCATCGGAGAGGGGTCAAAAACAGCAACCACTTTGGCCACTCCGTGCCTCATCAACGTACTCAATACCTCGCAATCAAACAAGCAAAGCAAAACTCAAGCCAGCTGCGGAATGGCACCACCATCTGTTCTGAAGTAAGCATCTGTAACAAAGAATATCTTCTCATCGTCCCAGCTTCCCAGCTGCCAGCCACAGCGCACCATGCAGGGCTCACCTGCACTGCCAGCTAGATGAGAACGGATTACTCTGCGATACTCGGGGTTCCCTGCTCACTTGCCGTCTTCTGTGGAGACTATGGATACTTGGCATAACATGGATGTCACATCATCAGATATGCCGCACGGATGCATGCAGTCCCCAAGGAGAGTGAAACAGCTAGCCCAACAAACCACAAAAGCCCATGACAAGATTTCCACAGGCTCCTACCGTTCAGACCCTATTTGAAGCAGTACCTAGTTCGGCAAGACATTGTGGAATGCAGCATTTGTGTAAGCCAACTAGACATAAAAATCACACTCGGCAGGCCTACGTGTTCTTCTAAGAGGTCTGACCTGAGCTGTGCTCCAACAGCCCAGACTACTTCACAGGTCGACTCCGATCGTCGCATGCACAGCCAGTAGGTGCAGGCAGTTCTCTGGCCCAGTGCCTGGAGATTGCCATCTGGACCAAAGGCCAAGTGCGTGAATTTGGTTGCACAAACCCAAAGCCGAAACTTTTGACCGCAAGACCTGTTTGGAGCTCCTAAATACTGGCCAGGATCTCCCAATTTCGGTTCGAGGAGCGTGACCAACTCGTTCCAACATTCGCCCGCCCTGTGCGTGAATTTCACCTAAGTTTGAATAAGACGTGGCAGTCGGTTCAAGCATATGGCGTGCTGCAAGATGCGCAGCCTTCAAGAACAAGTGACCAAGAACCAGCGCTGCAAACCTGAAAAATCAAGACCTCCTCCAAAGAGACGTGCATGTTTTGCAGCACTTAACTCATCTTTAACTCCACGCAATTACAGAGCTCTTCCTACAAAAACATTCACAGTTGATGAATGTAACTTTGCAGGGGTCACATCATCCTCCACCAGCAAATGCCACTCCCGCGCAGAGTGGGCTATCTCCGTCCAAGCCTCACGAACTTTCAACGGTGATCAGTTTTTTTTGGCAAATCAGACAGGTTGATCTAAATCAAACGGACTGTTGTGGTAGCTACATAGACTTCGTCTGCCTCTGCCCCAAGGACCCAGGCCTTTCGGAAGGACAGCCAATTTGCCACTTGTTCTAGCAGCCTGAGCCAAACGCGCGGTGCTGGACATGAATGGGATTCAAGAGCTTTTGCTTGTTAGCTATTCCAGCATTCTTTGCTTATGCCATCTTATGCCTACAAACTGTTTTAGTCTGCTGCATGCACGCATCGCAAATTGTAAGATCTGCACGTAGCCTTTGCCGGAAAGCAGATGCGGTTCTTGCAGAAGTCTTGCAGGAAGTGATTTCTTCTTCTGGCATGGGTGTTTCTCGCCGCCCTGGCAATAGTTTCTGCTTCCGTTTTCGTGTCGTGGCAACAGGGAGGGGGGCGTTCCCCGCTTATGCACGATGGCATGCATGCTTCTGCGGAACACTGAAATCTGCCGTTGTCTGCAACATGTCGAAACCTTTTCAGATTCAGAAAAGGCTCTCTGGAATTCTCTCTGTTGCATCACTTTTACTTGCTAAACTGGCAATTGTTTCGGCTTATTTGCTGTACAATCGCTGGCAACACTGGTGTGGAAGTGTTGTGTAGGCTTCGGCATTGTCAGCGAAAAGGCAAGATTGATTTGGCAACTTTTCAGATATCCTTGGTAAACCTTTCAAAGCATCTCCGTTCGCCAGAAGATTTTTGCCCAAACCAGAAAAATGTCCCTTCCCACAAGCACTCACGTTGAAGCCATTCTGACGTCCATTCCAGAGCGCACCCCTTTCCCAAAACATCCATGCCCAAATGACTTTGACAGCTTGTGTTGCCACATGTGGGGTTTGAAATCACAGTTGCCGCTGTGGTAGCGTATCAGAATTGTTGCGCAGACCCCATGCCACCGTAAGGAGCTGAGAAAGCAAAAAAACACGAAACCCATGCGATTGCCGGCAACGTGAACTCTTTCTGCCCTTGACATCTCCGAACTTCGCTCAATTCATCAATCAGCTGAATACCCATGCCTGCCATGTGAAGGTTTGAACCCGGCCCAATCAACTCGAAACGCCCCGGGCCAACGCACCGGGCAAACCCAATTGTAGAGATGTCAGCGGGCTGCGAAAACTCAACTGTTGTTACTACTATTATTACTACTAGTACTATTAGTCTTACCACTATCACTGGTATTGTTTCTGTTTATTACTACTATTTCTAATATTATTACTACTACTACTACTACTACTGTTCCTACTATTACTACTACTGTTACTACTATTTCTACGATTACTACTGCTACCACTGCTACCAATTATTATGATTACTACTATTATTGTATGCGATATGTTGTATTAGCTGCCAGCCACGAAGCATGTCATTGTTGGCACAGCCGCAGTCAGTGACCAGCCCGCAGCGGAAGCACGGAGGAAACTTTGCAACTCTCCTTGGATGTTGGGACGGCTGCAACTCCTCCACAAAGGCTTCCTCTCGTGAAAGATGTTCGAGGCCTTTTCACGAAAAAGGCTGGGGTATACAGTAATGTTGTAATCTCCATATGTTTTTCCATTCCCCTATGTACCTTGTCAAAGCCTGCATAACCCGTCTGCAGAGGGGTCATTATTAACATGTCCGACGGATACCGCTCCTTGAACTACTAAGTCCAACTTCAGACTGAAGCTCGGCGAGTTGAACCATCGCAGCACTTCCTGCCAAATGGGCTGCTAAGAGAGATTACACGTAACATCTAACCTCTGCAGAAATTATTTGCGAGCCCCGTTGCACCACAGCTGGATCAGTTGTGGTATTTTGGCAAATCCAGGCATGTTGAAAGCACGAATTCGGTCACCCATCCACGCGATGTTGCAGGCGAGACGGCCAGAGCTTGACTAGCGTGCAAGAACCCCACACTTGGTACGTGTTTGTATCCAGTGCCAAACTCAGGCAACTGAGAACCGAGGGAGCGTGATAGCACTTGCTTGCTTTTGAGACCCTCGCTATGGAAGGCTGTGCGAAGGGGACACAAAAGTGCATAGCCGGTGTGCCAAACACAGCCTCAAAAAGAATTACCAGCTGCAGCAGCAGTCTTTATCGTCTTTTCAGGCGGCATTGATGTTTAGGACAGCCAACCCTCCAATCTTCAGCTCCCCAAACTACGGATGCCACAGCAGGGTCGCTTCATGCTAGCAACTCTTCCTGGCCTCGTCACTCGGGGCCATGGCTTCAATGAAGGTTGGCAGAGGAAATCCCCAGCCTCAGGTTTCCGCAGGCAGAATCAACATGTCAGCTTTGTCGTCTTGTCCTCTGTTTTGGCGGATCTCGCTTTCCACGCTGCAGGGGTGCCGGCTCTTGGCATGCAAGTCAAGTGCTTGACGGACCTACAGACCTTGAATGTGGGTACACCTGCGAAGGAGAGCCATCTCTTCGGGGGCAAAACAGCCTGGCCCCAGAGTCGCAGGACTCTCAGGACTCCCAATATGAAGTCAACAGACAATCACATCACTGCTTGGCACGCTCGTGAAAAATCTCAGCCAGCTTGAAATTGTGAAGCCAGGACCCTGATAGCCACGACCTTGTCTAGCTTGGGCAGATGGAGGCATTGATTTCTTGGCAGTTTCTAGTTCGGGCTGGGGCAGGGACCGAATCAACCTTTTGAACCATCCCCAGCTGCTACCCCAGCTGCTGCCGGGAAACGTCTTAGCTCCTTCTCAGTGTGCCGCCGTCGTGACTGGCACGACGGGAGGCTGATGCAAAACACCTGGTGTGCGGTTTGCGCGGGGCCGTTTGCAGCGAAGCTTGGGAGGGTAACAAGATGCAGAAGCATCAGGACAGCTCAAAGCAGCTGAACCTGAAGAATCCAAGGTTTGTTCTCACCTTTGCCCCTTAGACATGGTAGTGCGTTCTGGCTGAACACATGACACTGATCAAAACCTACATCTGAGCCAGTGATACTGCAGGCCTCCCCATCAAAAACAGAGGCGTCACAACGATGTCCGCATCGAACTGCCTGCAGGGCTGCACAGCAAAGGTAAGGTACCACGGTGAAAGCACTCGATTGCAACTGTTTCTGCCCTTCAGCTGGGCGAATTGTTTCCGTCGCGGATGCTGCATTGCGGTCTCTGGTCATGGGTCAGGGATGTGGTTCTACTCCCGCCACGAGCTCCGGGATCCAAAACCATTTTGGTCTTCCAGCGACAGATGCTCCTTCCTTCTTTGCAAGTCGTGGAGCACGTCTCTGAATTTTTGCCTGGGAAGTGGAGCATCCCAAGCGCTAATGCCGTGCGCTCCTTCACACACCTGTGCTTCAGCTTGAGCTCCTATGAGAAGAGGCGCACGTCGGCGACAGGTTTGCAGGCTGGAAGCATTCTCCAGCGTTTTCTGCGTCCAGCGAATAGTTCAAAGCCAGCAGAACACACTCTTCTCAATCACCAACACAGTCATCAGCAGGTCGATTGTCGATGAAAGCATTCTTGTCCATTGTAGGGGAAGCCCGGTTCCAGGTCAGCAAGCCTGGGCCGCGACAGCCAATCACCATATTTGAGCGGAGTACAGGCCGCGCATCATTCCGCAGCCTCAACAGATCATGTAACAATCCAACCGGACAATTGCACGGGATTTCACTGGAGACCGCTGATAAACCAACTTGCTGCCGAGAAGCCGTATGCCAGCAGAGCGGCAATCACTGATCACACAAGCTTCGAAGATGCCTTTACACCTTCCAGCGACGACAAGCCCCTGCCATGCTGGGCCAATCCGACAGTTCAGCACATAGGGGACACTCTCGGCATCTAGTGGAGGATCCGCGAGGATTCCAATGCCACGGCTCTGGATGCAGCAACCTGTCTCATGAGTACTGAGGTAGTGCGTGGTCCCTGCAATGTGGGTTCCCCACATGTTCCCGGAAATTTCTTGATAGCAAGAAATTGAAGTATTTGTCACAAATCCACACAAGCATATCCAAGAGGGAATGTACAGGGGATGCATGATGATGTATGGCAATATATTTTCAGGGGATCCTTTCAGGGTGAACCATACAAAAGTCTCGTCCATGTAAATGTGCACGACACACATTGTTTGAAGAGGCTCCCTGACCCCACCTTCCACCCTGGGCCTTCCTGCGCACCTGAGGTGCACCGCAACAAAGCGGCCTTCGTTTACAACATCCACGTTTTGCGGCGCTGCATTCTCGGCCCCTACCTCAAATACGAAGCTTCCAGACAACTGTGTGCGTGCTTCGCTGGAGCCCAGCAGTGTAATATTCGACTTGATCACAACTGGCTTGGTGTTGCGGAATTGCCCCGGAGGCAGCTCCAGAGCACATCCCTCAGGCAGAGAGTCAATGGCGTCTTGCAAAGAAGTGGCGGCTCTAAACGTTGCCATGCGCAATTTTCCGCGGCAAGGCTCTAAGCCGTTGCAGAAGGCTTTGCTGAAAAGTTCTGAACCCAGCAGCACCAAGACCAGAAGCAGAAGCCGGAGGCAGGGTCTGCACCTGATTCCCAGCATCCTCTCCAGGTGCTCGGTGCTCGGTTAGCTTGGACACCCTCGCTGAACGGAACTGCTGAGCCACCCGCACGGCAACTCACGAAAACTGGTAGGACATGAGGTAAGCATAAAATTCAGCAGCCCAGAAGTACGAGCTGCCAGTGGCAGTAAGCTTTGCAACAGAAATCATCTTGGCATGATTGATGTCCTGGCGCCCCCTTTTCTGCACCCAATGTCCTTACATCCGAACAACACCCAGCCCTGGACACCTATGCCAGGATCGCCAGACAGATTTGGTTGCGCAGGGGCTGAGGCAGGGGAGACCAAAAACCTTCGCAGCCCAACGCAGTGCCGGCCTCTTCGGCTTTAGCCGACAACTCGGCCTGCAGCGACGGCACATCCACCGGCATCTCCTGCAAGTTGCAGAACGCGAAAAAGCCAAGCCGTCTGTCAAAGCTTAGCGACATGGCACTTGCAAAACCTCCTGAAACCAAGGTAGCCCGTATGGCGCTGTGGTTCCTCCTACCATCTCTTTGGCAGCCTGCAGATTAAGTGATTCAGCCCTGCCATTCATTGGCCACATCTCTGCCCGATCCAATGTTGAACCGCTGCCAACACAATACGCATCAAAGCGGTTGCTGGTCT